GTGCATTTATATATATACTTGTATAACTGCCCTTTTCTGCTGCGAGCGCAGCTGTAGTAGTTAAAGTAGGCCGATGAAATATTATTTTATAAAGAATGAGTTATGTTCGAAGTGTGTAGAAGATATATTCGCAGAAGGCACAGCGCTGCATGGTTGTATTTGTTGCGCTGCGGAACGTATCAAGCTCGAAGCATACTTATGATATAACTTCATCGGAATGATATCGTAGGAGGCCACAATGTTGCATGAGCCTTGTGGCAGAAGTCAATAAAAAAATGTATTCATGAATGAATGTAGTTCGAAGCGTGCATATAAATATACCTCCACCAGAGGCATATATAAGAAAGTCTGAGTAGACCGATAAGAAGGCACAAGAGAATACTTTAAATTAATTGGGGATGTTATAAATTTAATCATTCCCTTCTGGATTAAGGTCTCGAGAGAAAATCAAGCTTCTCCTTACGACAATCGCAAATTTAGCAGAGACTCTATCCCGAATCGCTCTCTAGAGAGGGCATGATTCAATGTGTCCACCAAGAGGCAAGTGACCTGGAAGCAGTGTCCACTGTCCACAAAGTAGGAAGGGAATTTAAAAAAATAGCGAGATCGAATTGAAATTTCACAATAATCTGCATACTTTGCAAAACTGCTGAGTACAAGAAGGGCTGAACGTTGAGCTGCAGAAGCTCAAAAGGCCACCGACAATTACACACAGTCGTGTTGGTTTCCAAAAAAATCGCAGAAATCTATTGCGACAGGCTATACAGATGAACTGGTAGTGTTATATTGCCTGTAACCACTACAATATGTATCCCTATTTATCATCTCTAACTATGGTCACGTTGGGTGTCAGTATCGATTCAGATACTGTAGTCAAGGCCAGAAGAACTTACGCATCCAACGGCTGTGTGTAGTGTCTGCAGTGTATGTATGTATTGTGTAGTGTCAGATAAGGCCTGTTTGGAAATCTGATGCATATTATCAATAATTTCTTGACACAAAACCACTGATATCAATTCATTACACATGTGTTGTCGAACGAAAGTATATTATAAATTCAGATGCGAACATCGATCTGCTGTACATAGCCATACTAGCTCTATTAAAAGTGCGCGAACCTTTCCCATTGAAATCCTGAATATGGGCAAAGCTCGAGGATCTGGCAGCAGTGGTAGTAGCAGCGACAGCGATAGCGGTGGAGCGAAAAAGAACAAACAGAAAAGTAAGGCGCAAGGCAATAAATCCGACTGAGTTGCTCGATTGCTTTCATACGTTGTTGCACCTTCCCTCCTGTGCATGAACATGGCATTCTGTTGTATACTATTTCGATTCGATACATACTAGCGTATTCCTTTTGATTTCGGAGAACAGGTTTAGTAGATAGATAGCCATTTTGAATCAATGCAAGAGATTGCAAGATAATTTATTCTGAGTTGATCCAATGATAGGGTGTAGACTTTACCCACGGAGGGAGTTCTATATACTAGTGCATAAGGTGACAATTTTCTCATACTCAGAAGTACTTTGTGTTCATGCAATAGAGATGGGAAAGGGCCACAAACATAAGAAGGACAAGAGAGATCACAAAGGAAGCCAGAGCGACCTGTTCGACATGTACGCATCTCAGCTTGAAGAGAAGCAGAGTACAGGTGAATATCTCAACTATGTATACTATTTATTCAATCAGTGCCCTTCAATTCATAACGTTAATATGTCAAGAACAAGCCAGCAATAATGCAAATCATTGTCTTTTCTTTTTCTGCAGCACAAAATGCAGTGTCAGGTGCTAGGTTATACTTTTGCATATTTAGACTCTTGAATAGGTCAGTTTTGGTACTGATCTGTACGATCGTTCAATTCACCGTATTCAAGTAGGTAAGGGTCTGCGTTTGCCATATTACATGGTGTATTCTATTTTATACCAACACATAGGGAGCTTCATTTGTATTCTTCTACTCTCAGCATG